TAGATTTCATACAGCGGCAGATACCGATGCAGGATATTACATTCGAGGAAACTGTAATAAAATTGCGGTTCAACAACAGCAAGCAACACAAAATGGAAGCGTAGACAACTGTCAATCATGTTTCTTTTTGTGGGTCGGGAAAACTTTTGAACCAAGAAATGCCCCCTGCAAAAATCTGCCGAATACAAGACGTCTCTAATGTCGCTCAAACTGCACATTTCTGTTCTGTATTTTGCTTATGAGGCAAATGGGATGTAAGCGTATTATGTACTTTAGGGTTGTGTTTCTCAGCCTAGGGTACGCAAACCACTAGGGATAATGAACTGAGGCTGTAGATCCAAGACTGAGGCTGTAGACCCAGGACTGAGGCTGTAGATCCAGGACTGAGGCTGTAGATCCAGGACTGAGGATTTAGATCCAGGACTGAGGATTTAGATCCAGGACTGAGACTGTAGATCGGGGACTGAGGCTGTAGATCCAGGACTGAGGCTGTAGATCCAGGACTGAGGCTGTAGATCCAGGACTGAGGCTGTAGATCCAGGACTGAGGCTATAGATCCAGGACTGAGGCTGTAGATCCAGGACTGAGGCTGTAGATCCAGGACTGAGGCTGTAGATCCAGGACTGAGGCTATAGACCCAGGACTGAGCCTGTAGATCCAGGACTGAGGCTGTAGATCCAGGACTGAGGCTGTAGATCCAGGACTGAGGCTGTAGATCCAGGACTGAGGCTATAGATCCAGGACTGAGGCTGTAGATCCTGGACTGAGACTGTAGATCCTGGACTGAGACTGTAGATCCAGGACTGAGGCTATAGATCCAGGACTGAGGCTGTAGATCCTGGACTGAGGCTGTAGATCCAGGACTGAGACTGTAGATCCAGGACTGAGGCTTTAGATCCAGGACTGAGGCTGTAGATCCTGGACTGAGACTGTAGATCCTGGACTGAGACTGTAGATCCAGGACTGAGACTGTAGATCCAGGACTGAGGCTTTAGATCCAGGACTGAGGCTGTAGATCCTGGACTGAGACTGTAGATCCAGGACTGAGGCTGTAGATCCTGGACTGAGACTGTAGATCCAGGACTGAGGCTGTAGATCCTGGACTGAGACTGTAGATCGGGGACTGAGGCTGTAGATCCAGGACTGAGGCTATAGATCCAGGACTGAGGCTGTAGATCCAGGACTGAGGCTATAGATCCAGGACTGAGGCTGTAGATCCAGGACTAAGGCTATAGATCCAGGACTGAGGCTGTAGATCCTGGACTGAGACTGTAGATCCAGGACTGAGACTGTAGATCCAGGACTGAGGCTTTAGATCCAGGACTGAGGCTGTAGATCCTGGACTGAGACTGTAGACCCAGGACTGAGACTGTAGATCCAGGACTGAGGCTTTAGATCCTGGACTGAGACTGTAGATCCAGGACTGAGACTGTAGATCCAGGACTGAGACTGTAGATCCAGGACTGAGACTGGAGCTCCAGGACTGAGGCTGTAGATCCAGGACTGAGACTGGAGCTCCAGGACTGAGGCTGTAGATCCAGGACTGAGACTGGAGCTCCAGGTCTGAGGTTGTCCGTTGAAGTTAGAGATATTACACTTGCTTCTTTCTTCTTCTTTTTTTTCATTCTGACACACACACACACACACACACACACACACACCCGCACCCGCACACACACACACAATGCCCTTGTCTTGCCTCATGATGGATTTGGTGATTTAAGTCCCGTGTTGACAGTGTCCTCTCTGTCAACACGGCCTCAAAGCTTCAGCGACACCAGATCCTTTGGGCAGATACACACTTGTTGATACTTGTCACCCCTCGGCCTGAGCGATGGCGGTAGCGGTGGCGGTGGTGGTGGCGGTAAGCTAATACGCCACCGTGTGTATGTCTTAAGTGGAATGCGTGGTGTGAGCAAAGTCGGTCTTCTTAAGCGCTGCCAATCACACTCGAACGTGATATCCCTGGGACTGGCTCCGCTCCGCCACTAACTCCCATCGTTAGCGCCTTATGACAACAATGGCTAATGTGGTTGCAGTGCAGTTGCCTGGAGACCTTTCCCCAAACTGTCATGCAGGGATGGGAACTACACTGCAAAAAAATTATCCAATATGAGGTAATAAATGCTTGAATGGAGTGTTTTCTTTATCTGAATATGAGTATTGTACATTCTGACTGTGTTAAAACAAGTTTCAATAATGGGACAAATCCATTTAGACTTATTTCAAGAACTTCTTCTTGAAACTTTAAAACCACATTTATTTGTTGAGGCCCCCATTAGTCTCCACAAGTGGTTGCTTTAGTCTTTCTGGGGTCCATTCCACATACACTGGAAAAAGTGATTAAAAAAGGTCAAAAATGGCTCAGAAAATGTATCTTAATTTGAGCACATTTTTAAAACAAGAATTAACCAATAGGACAAAGCAAAATGATCTTGTTTCACCAAAAATAATTCCAGCAGTTATTACCTCATATTCTATCAGTTTTGCTGTAAATGTCTTTTATCTCAACTTTTATGGTATGTTATGGTGTGTTCTTTGTCTTCTTTTGTAGTGTGTGGTGTATCTCCCATACACAATAGCAAAAAGTGGTCAAAATGAATCAAAGAACCAAAGATTATGTACTATTTCTGTTAATTCGTGGCCATAACATATATTTACTTTGGATCTTACTTACTTAAGGTAAATAGGGTGCTTGCGCAAGTCTTGAAAATCTTATTAAGTATGGAATTTTGAATCACTGTTTTTCCCAGACCTTGAAAAATCTTGAATTTTGTGTGAAAGTCTTAATAAAGTATGGAGAAAAAAATGTATGGTAGAATTTTACAGAGTGCTCAAAGGCGTTGTGAAATGAGAAATAGGAAGGTTGGCTACTGTATTAGCCTGATGGAATGGTATCCAATCAACGCTTGCTTAGCCTAGTCTGGCTCATGTTCGTGATGTCCCTGCTGAGGTCTATTGACACATAGCTAGCCTAGTGGTCAACAGAAATGGGTCTTGGGAAAAAAAATATAAGTTTTGAAAAAGTCTGGAAATTTAATTTGGCAAGTACCGAGTGAGAGACCCTTCTCTTGATTTTGATATTAATCTTGGTCACTGCTACTTTTACCCATGGTGTATGATTCGGGTGGTGGGGTAACTGGAGCGCCAGCAGGAAACTCATCCAGACTGAAACGTGTAAAGTTTTAAGTTTGAACACCATGGGAAGTTAAACAAAACAGAGAACAAAAAGACAAGTCATTTATTACATTACAATTAATAACTTTAACAATCGGATACAAGCTTTTCTGAAATCTATTTTACTTGGAGAAACCCCTAAAACATCTAGCAAATGAAATAGTCCAACCAGACATGTATTTGGGCACGTTTATATGTATAGCACAGTTCATACTCACGGCAACTCAAAGTCCCAATCAAAACAAGACAAAAACAGTCACAATTTCAATGTTTCTTGAACATTTAGTGCAGAAATACATGTAAATATTATTAAATTGGCAAATACTAATCTTTCTTGAGCCAATGGTTAAAAACATATGGTCCTGAACAACAACAGTTCTCTGCGTTTCGTACCGTCGCCTTGGCTCCTCGCTGGTGTTTTGTTGGGGCTTGTGAAAAAGGTGCTAAATCAAAGTGCTAAAATGATCTCGTGAAGTCTTAGTCATTCTCACCACGCGCTGATTGTATAGCGGCCAAAAATACAGCTTCACACGATTTTACAGGACGGTAATGGACTCCGGAGAAGTGGTAACTCAGAGATGTCCTCAGATTACACCGGGACACACGGGGTTGGTGAGAAAGCGAGACACGACATGCAAGATATGGTCAGGAGCCAAATGAACAAATATAGGAGCTGATCGGAGGCCGCAAGATTTATTTTTTTATAATGGATTTTTACAACTTTTTTTTTTTTACATTTAAATTTACAAGTTTTTTAACCCTAACCCATATTACTGAAAGAGGAGAAGACAAACCAAAAATCAAACAAAATAATAATAAATATTTACCGGTCTACACGTCTCATTTCATTACATAGAGCTAGTTTGCTTTGAAAATAATCAAATTTTCACACACTCTTTTGTTATGTCAATTATAAATAAAGTTTTTTTCATTATAAAGGTATTTTTATGCGAGGGAAATTGGATTGTCTTCCTGAGAAAATAGATAATGGCTAAATAATTGAAAACCATGTTTTGGGGCCACTGCAAATTGTCTTGCGGACCGGATTTGGCCCGCGAGCCTGGGTTTGACATGTCTGTGCTAGATGGACTTTTTATGAAGTTGGACCGTAGTTTGTTGTAGTTGTAGTTTTCATTTGAACAATCGTAGCTGCGAAAGAGATACATTGGTCCCTTGTTTATTGCAGGAATTACGGTCTAAGTCTGAGATTTTTTTACTTGCGTCTTTATTATGCTAGAGTTAGCAGAGAGAGACCGCGATAGAGACCAGAGAGAGGCCAGAGAGAGAGAGTCCAGAGAAAGAGACCAGAGATAGACCATAGAAAGACCAGAGAGAGACCATTATAGAGACTAGAGAGAGGCCAGAGAGAGGCCAGAGAGAGACCAGAGAGAGGCCAGAGAGAGACCAGAGAGAGACCAGAGAGAGACCAGAGAGAGACCAGGAGAGACCAGAGAGAGACCAGAGAGTGACCAGAGAGTGACCAGAGAGAGGCCAGAGAGAGACCAGAGAGAGACCAGAGAGAGGCCAGAGAGAGACCAGAGAGAGACCAGAGAGAGGCCAGAGAGAGAGACCAGAGAGAGACCAGAGAGAGACCAGAGAGAGGCCAGAGAGAGACCAGAGAGAGACCAGAAAGAGAGACCAGAGATTGTTTTATTATACTATTATGTTTCAAATAATAGCAATCAAAATGTTGGAATTATCAATCTATGAACAAAGCAGAACTCTGGCTTTCAACTGCAGTAAGTGCACCGTCAAATCCAAAAGCAACATTATTATAAGAAAAAAAGTCTGTCAATAGAACAAAAAAATATGACTTGACAGGGTCATGGGACCGTGAGCAGAGGGACCGTGAGGAGAGGGACCGTGAGCAGAGGGACCGTGAGGAGAGGGACCGTGAGGAGAGGGACCGTGAGCAGAGGGACCGTGAGCAGAGGGACCGTGAGCAGAGGGACCGTGAGCAGAGGGACCGTGAACAGAGGGACCGTGAGCAGAGGGACCGTGAGCAGAGGGACCGTGAGCAGAGGGACCGTGAGCAGAGGGACCGTAAGCAGAGGGACCGTGAATAGAGGGACCGTGAGCAGAGGGACCGTGAGGAGAGGGACCGTGAGCAGAGGGACCGTGAGGAGAGGGACTGTGAGGAGAGGGTTATTCTCGCTGCTGTTTGTGCCACTAATGAGGCCGCATCGGAGACACCTTCTTTCTGACCCATTTAAAATCGTTACCGCGCTTTGATCCTTTGTCCCTGCTGCCGTTTGCATTTCCACACCCCTCACACACATACACACACACATACACACACACACACACACACACTCACACACACACAATTCTCAAAGCAGAGAATAATGGTACAAAGGTACAGAGGGATAGATTGGATGGTGATTGGGCGAAAGATCTTCTATAGCATTTCAATTCAATGTAATTTTGTACAGGCCTAAGTCACAACAACTGGCGTCTCAGAGGACTTTACAAAGTTGCCGAAGTCACCAACAGCAGATCAGAGAATCAAACAGTACGAACACAGAAAACGCAGCAACGTCAAACGCATAGGGAACCACTGTCTATAAATGTATTCAAGCTATCTTACATGATTTATGGACAAATTAATTCTATAACACTCTTTCTATTAGGATACGCTTTTAATGTATTGCACAAATTCACAAAATGTGCAATATAGAGCCACATGTGTCCACTGTCACTTTACTGTAGTCACTTAAAAATACAGCAATATACTTCTTACACTAGTATATACAGAATTTTATACTTGCTGCTTTATTATGCTAAAACTAGATATTTTATACTTCTTCTTTATTATGCTAACGTCAAACAATGCAACATTGGCATTTCCCCAACGTGGAGAATTTCTTGATTTTACTTGTGATTCAATTGCTTTACTTCCAGCAGAACAAGCGCGAGTGACTCTATCTCTAACCTCGCTTATTCTTAAAACATATCCTGTATACAAATCAAACACACATTATTTACTCCTTTCTATCCATAGAACCAGATTAATTGACTTAGAACTTTAACCGTATCGCTCCAGCTCGCCGCCGCCGCCGCCACTATCTCCCTCAGAACGTAATCGGCTGCTGTTGAAGCAGAAACACAACCAATTTGTTTCTTCGAAATGTTAACGCCATTGTTATGTAGTTATGCTCATATCCCCGCGTGTTGACAAGCTTTGCAATTTCCCCACCGCCACGTCAATATTTCACACATCACGGCTTGGGGAGAAATGCAATTTAGTTTTGGGAGACCGTTGAATACAAAAAAGCGCTAGCTGAAGCCATGGCTCAAAAAAAAAAAACTAATCAGAATGTACGTTTACGGCTAACGTTTTCTGACAGCGGGCTGCGGAGACTGGTCAAGCAGGTGTGTGTTTTCGGGGCGCACGTATTAAAGGACAACTCACCCTCAAATCCACTTTTTTTTGCTGATAAACGGCATAAATGAGTGTCCAATAGTGTTGTCTACATATCCTGGTCATAATCTTGTCACTTTGGTGCAAATTAGTTGAAAGTTAGACTTTCTGCCTAAAACCGTCTGTGAGGCGCCATCTGCTGGCGACCTGTATTACTACATTTGAATTTTGAATCTGGCGCCAACACTGGCACAGAAGTTGGACCTGACGTCTGCAAGTTGGACCTGACGTCAGCAGCCCCCCGCCCAGAGCAATATAAACGGCCCAGTCTCGTTCACGCCCCCTTTAGTCCTCCAGGCTACGCCCATTTAGAGGAAGATTTGAACAGGAAATGTGAGTAACGTAAGCTCCGAGGAGCGGGGGTGAGAACCACTTTAAGCACGCAATTTGCTTGAGGTAATCTGCTGACGACAGGAAGTAGCTGTTGTCGTAAATGACTGTTGACAAAAGCACAATAGGACCTGCGTACAAATTCATATGCGCTGCAAAAAGTGATGCAGAATATGTCCAAAACGGCTCAAATTTGGAAAATATGTATCTTAATTTGAGCACATTTTGACAAGATTTGCCAATGGGACAATGCAAAATATTGTGGAATGAGAAAATAAAGAAATGTGTGTTCCTAGATTAAGGTAAAAACCCCTTGATTCAAGCAATTATTACCTCATACTTTAGCCGATGCTACTACTGCCAAAATTCGCTTTGCTAATCTGTTAGCATAGCATCCATGGTAATCAGAATTACACCCATATATGGCCGCCAATAGGATATTTCTGTCATTGTCTGTTTGTTGTTGTCGGTCGTCTAAACCCAGTGACAAAACATAATTCTTGTGAAGCCAAGTTTTGAGGAGTCCATCTCGATAATATTTTTTTTGTTTGTTGTGGATATGTTCTACATATTTTCAAATGTCTTTAAAATTCATTCAGTATTGGAAAGTTACATTTGCTTAGCTTTATAGCATGTGAAGCTAACCAAATGCTACTGATGCTGCCCTAAAGTTATGTTGCAATTTTTTGAATAGCTTGTTTTATCCATCCCAAATTGGCCAAAAAGAAAAGAACGGCGTAGGCTATAATGCTAATACGCTAACGGATAATTAGCATTTTGGTAAAAGGCTTCGACATTGCTCTTTTTCCTCTTTCTTTAGTTCATGGTTAAGCAAATGTTTCTATTGCTGCCGTGGTGGCAAATGGCCGTGGGTTCGATTCCACCTCCGGGCCTTTCTGTGTTGACTTTGCTTGTTCTCCCTGGGCCTGTGTAGGTTTCCTCCAGGTGCTGTGGTTTCCCCCATACAAAAATTATATACAATAGATTCAATGAGTGTGTGTTTGTGGTGCAACTGTGAGAAAATGGATGCTAAGCTACAATCCGTGGACTGTCCCAATCCAATCCAAGTAGTAGCATATTGTATGAAGTTAGAATGAGTAAGCCTTGTACTACAATCGCTGGGTTTTCTGTAAAATTATTACAAAGCAAAATAACTAAACAAACACGTGTTTTCAGATGCAGATGTCGACCAGAGATCAGGTTCCGTGCTGCCGTCAAAATTGCATGAGATGAACACCTATGCACATCTTAGTAAGTAAATACACACCTCTGTATTCCAAATATGTGTAAACGGCAATGTATGTCACATTGGCAGTGTGGATTTGACTATGACAATTTTTTATTGGCTGTGTCTAGGAAGGTCTTTTAGAAGTCTTGCAAAGTCTTGCAGAAGTCTAGTAAGGTCTTTAAGAAGTCTAGTCTTGCAGAAGTCTAGTAAGGTCTTGCAGAAGTCTAGTGAGGTCATTACTGTTGTTGGTGTTAGTAATTATCTAAATATAATTAAATGGTGATGTTTTGTTTCTTGCTTTCTGGAGATCTGATTTGAAATGTCTTGATAAGTAAATGTATCTCTTGTCCTTAAGTCAGCAAGGTGCTCTGGTCTCTCTCTGGTCTCTCTCTGGTCTCTCTCTGGTCTCTCTCTGGTCTCTTGCTCTGGTCTCTCTCTGGTCTCTCTCCGGCCTCTTGCTCTGGTCTCTTGCTCTGGTCTCTCTCTGGTCTCTCTCTGGTCTCTCTTTCTGGTCTCTTGCTCTGGTCTCTTGCTCTGGTCTCTCTCTGGTCTCTCTCCGGCCTCTTGCTCTGGTCTCTTGCTCTGGTCTCTCTCTGGTCTCTCTCTGGTCTCTTGCCCTGGTCTCTTGCTCTGGTCTCTCTCTGGTCTCTCTCCGGCCTCTTGCTCTGGTCTCTCTCTGGTCTCTCTCTGTTCTTTCTCTGGTCTTTCTTTAGTATTTTTCGGGTCTCTTTCTCAGCTCGCTTTCTCTGGTCTCTCTACATTACTTACTTACTCACTGGTTTCTATCTCTGGTCTTTCTCTGATCTCTTTCTCTGGTCTCTCTCTGGTCTCCCTCTTTCTCTCTGGTCTGTCTCTGGTCTTTCTCTCTCTCTGGTCCCTCTCTGCTAATTATATGATCTATTCCTCATTCTGTTAAATCGTTGACTGTTGACTCTTCCATAATCATGGATATGCATATGTGGTTTGTGTGTTTTTGTGTAATTGTTCTGAACAATGAAAAGTTTGATTGTATTGCGTTTGGGGTCTTGCTTCAGCTCTCTCCTTTTGAGCAGAATTAACACTGTTCAAATACATAAATACATAGAAAATGAAAGTGATGGAGAAATATTTACCTCACTTTTCATTCACCTAGGCCTTCTTTGTGTATCCAGGTCCCCACTTTTCCCCTTTTTCCCTTTGCACCACTCCCGAGTTTATCTCTTCTTGTAATTTCATTGAATCGTGTGTGTTGTGTGATTTTGTGCTTGTGTGCGTGTCTTAGCCGTCGACAAGCTGTTTACAAGAATACAGGGAGATATTGAGTATCAAGTAAACATGCGGTTTGTAGTAGCGTGTACACAGCCGCGGATTTGTCAAACACTTTGGGGAAATGCTCGACAAGCTAACGTTATTTGCATGTATGCTTTTGGAATTTGTCTACTTCCCTTTTGTCAATACGCTCAAAGAAACTGAATTGCTATGAATCAAACAACCAGTATTATGCAATTTCTCTTCTTATCTTTTCTTTTCTGTCCATATTTTTGACCATAATTACTTATTACTATAATTTTCTGCAAGGTAATCTGTTCTTCATGTAGGGAGATTTGAGATATCCGTTCATACGACAGGGGACTTATCAGGGCTACTTTATCTGGAGGATTATACCTGTTTCTGCATGTTTTTGGTGGTGGGGAAACTGGAGCACCTGGAGGAAACTTACCCAGACAGAAGTATGCAAACTCCACGTGCAAATCTTTTAGTTTTTTTGACTCTAGGAACAGCTATAAGATTGCTATACCCAAGAACAGATACATCAAAATAGACTTTAAAAAAAAAAAAAATACTTAAAATCTATTCACAAATCCACAGGAAGCCAGTGCAGAGACTTCAGCACAGGAGTGATGTGGTCTCTCGCTCTAGGAGTTTTGTAGGTAATTGTATCAGTGCAATAGTATAGACTAGAGGCCTTTGTTGTTTGTTGAGCAGAGTAAAAGCCGTAGATTGAGCCTCCGTTATATCATTCTTTCGTCGTCCATCTTTCTCACTGATCATTTTGGCCACAATATCAATTTTAAGTAAATCACACCCGACTTCGAGGCTGTTTTACATGGATCCCCCTCAGCCATTAGAAACGAACAAGGTTAGAACAAACTGTCAGGACAAGCTGTTTTCTTTGCCAAACCAGAAAGGACAGTAGTAACAATAGTTAACACACTATTTTGTTATAAAAGCAAGGACTGGTGTTTTGGCTCTGGCTCAGGAGAGATATGTGTTACACTTTAGTTTGGCAGTGTTGGATA